ATCACCCTGAGTGGCAGAAAGATTGTGGTTTTAATTTTGCCCCCCAAGATCCCATGGTGTTAGCTTTGGAAAAGGAAAATCGGAAAGAGTTAGGGAAGTTGAAGCGATGTTGTTCAGCATGTAGTATTGGTCAGAGGTGTTTGAAGGTGAAAGAGAGACCCAGAAAGGTGGAAGAAAGGATAGAGGACTACGTGGCACCCCCGGGTCCGGGACCAGCTTCAACTTCAACCTCTCCAATGGTCCCAGACAGTGAGGAGGAGGTTTCGGAAGGAGACGCGGGACCCTCTATTTCCCCGAGACATACTCCAATTACGACCAGGACCCGCAGTAAAATGAGACCTATTATAGAGGCAACTTTAAGGCAGGCAATGGGCCCTGGGGGACCCACGGTAATAAGAGTGCCTTTCCAGATGGATGATGTGGATAAGTGGAAGGATGCAGTTAAAGGGTACAGGGAGGACCCAAGTGGGGTTGCAAAAAGGTTTGAGTGGATTACTAAGAATTTGGACCCGGATTGGAAAGATGTGGATCTTATGCTAGATGCTATGACTGAAACTGAGACGCAGCTTGTATTAAAGGCAGCCTGAGCTCATGCAGAAACCCAGATTGAGGGACAAGTTTTACAGGGCACAGCCAAAGATCATGTGCCCTCCAAGGACCCGGGTTGGGACCCTAATGATCCAGCTCAGTACCATTTGTTGCAATGATACCAAACCTGGATCAAACTTGGAATAGAACATGCAATCCCAAAGGCAGTTAACTGGTCTGCTTTGTATTCAGGGGCACACTGAAACGCCCACGGAGATTTTAGATCACTTATGGGCTGCTGTGAGAAGATTTACTACTATGGAACTGGAGTCAGAAGCTGCCACACAGCAGTTGGTATCTCTGTTTTTGGGACAATTCACTAATGATATCAGAAAGAAACTTCAGAAACCATATTTTATAACCTGTTGCATTAGGAGTTTATGCAGCTACTAAACAAAAGTTTCCCTCAATGCAGGAGGTTGATTTCTTGGGTGTTTCTGCAAAAAAGTTAAATAGGTTCTTCCTCAGAGGAAAGCACACCACCACTCTGCTTCTGGAACATCTACATACCTAGTCGCTGCTTTTTAACGTCCTCATCGCTCACAGAGCTGCTGCAACGGTGGCGGCGACCACACCCTGAAAATTGAAAATCAGAAATGTGTCAAAAGAGCATTTTGAATGACAGCTTGTTAGAGCTGGGCAAGACTTTCCAGCAAAGCATTTGGGGACCTGAAGAGGCAAAATTGGGAGAGACAAAACTATTTGCAAATTCAGGCTGAGTTTACAGAACTGCTTTTGCAAATGTTGAAGTAAAAGCAGAGGTGCAGAGGTGCAGAGGTGCATCTAGCTATAGAAAGACAGCTTGGGCTGCTCCTCGTGAGGCTAATCCATCCTCTTGTCCCACTCCAAATACGCTACAGCTCTCAGGAGTGACCTAGGAGTCTGGACTGGTTTAAAGACCTTCAGTAAGGGAGCTCCCTGAACTTCTCCAGGCAATTCATTCCAACACTTCAGTTTATTTATATAGATTTTCCTAGTGGAAATCTAGGCATCAATCTTGCCTGCCACAGTGTGATCTGCTACTTCCTTGTTCTATCCACTTGAGCGTTTTTGCAGAGAAGTCAAGCAGGTCCTTCCTCCTCCTTGGGACACATGATCAGCTATTCAACATTCAACAATGATTCAACATTTATCTGATCTTGGAAAATGACTTTGCGCTTCACAGAGCTGTTAATATCCAAATCTTACTGTTCTCAGCCAACAGCAGCTGGGATATCAGAAATAGGGAGGTACAAGCTGCTGGTGGAAGCCTGGCTTTGAAAATCTTTGCAGGAAAAAAATGTGAATTTTTAAAAGGCATGTTTTGCAAGAAATGTGTTAGGTTTAGCAAGTGATGCTCAGAACCTTTTGCTTAATCCCCTCATTTGCTTAGAAGCACAGTGCTAAGTAGTGCCAGAACCTTAGCAAAAAAAATCTTAACAGCTCATGAAAAAGCATCCTAGGAAATTACCCTCCTGGCAGCACAGCTGCTGGCAAAAAAAAAAAAATGACGTACGTGCAATTCTGGGTTTGGAGGAGTATACAGAAGTAGAGAGAGCATTAAGGGCTACAGACAGCCTAATCCAAGACTTAGACCACAAGCACTGCGAAGTTATGTAGGGCATGGAGAAAGTGGTTCTGAGTGTCTGAAAGAAGCCTGGCAGATTTGAGACAGAGATAAACCAAATAGCAGTACCACATATCCCAGCTACACGCTGTAGCAAAGCCCACAGCCCAATTTCTTGCAATTGTTCTCCACTCCTCCTTAGGATTTATGTCCACCCAAAGCAGGATAAACCCATGTGATGGACCTGAAAGAAAGCAGGAGCAGGTGAAAGGGTTAAAGCCAAGATAGACAAAGCCACTGCATCAAAATGCCTCCTGAAAGAATTAAAGCCTAGGGGCAAGGAGGATATTTTAAATATCTTAGTCACTTAGCTAAACCAAAGAAAGGCCTTTGTGATTTAGAGAGTAGTTAGAATAGTTAATAAGTTCCAGGAAATCTCATGTCTTTGTAAATGAATTCTCGGAAATCCTGTGAATATGTAGGACTTTATAGTATATAATCTCTGAAAGTCTACCAAATTGGTGGAGCACTCATGGTGGAGAATCCCCAGTGCTGCCCAGCGCTGCAATAAAATGCCTGCTTAATAACACTCTGTTGTTACTGAGTTTCATTACATCGGTTTCCTTACGCAGCCGCACCTAGCTTCCCACCTCGGTGAGGGAAGTTAGAAAGCAAGGGGGTTCGGGGAACACCCATCTTTGTCTCACAGGAAATATCAATGACTAGACATCTCAGCTCCACAGAAAGTTTCCTTGTGAGTGAAGCCAGCTGCCAGGTCAGCCTCCACGAGTTCATCTGGCCAGAGAGCACTGGGTGAAGGAGCTAGATACACTGCTGTGAAAAGCTGCCCTGCATTTTCCAAGACTGACCACCACCACCTCACTGGTGAGTCTTTTTGTAGGCTGGGCAATGCATCTGCCTTGCTTTGAGCACAAGAACTGCTCTGTTACCCTGGGGAACAGGGCAGGGAACAGCCATTTCTGGAGAATGCACAGCCCACAGATTCCCACAGCTGTTTACGGTGATTAATTCCTTGTTCATTTATGGCGCTCTCTCAGATGGAGAGAACGGGCAGAGCCGAGAGAGGCATGAGTCTTTCCTTTCTTAACTGGTCCTAGTAACTTTCAGCACTACTTTCAAATTTCTGTTCCACCAGCAACTTGCAAGATTGACTGCCTATCCACTAGGGTGGCACAGCAGCTAGCAGCAACAGTCTGTCTGCAGAACAGACAAGTCACTTTTGTTTTCAAGATCTGAAAACTGCATGTGACACACAAGATACAGTATTTGCAGTGCCGTGACACAGAAGCAGTCTCTGAGTGAAAAGCAGAGGCAAAAGCCTCTCTGTGACCATACTATCAGCTGGGACTGCAAAGGGTAGGCTGGGAGCTACGATTTAAAATGGGTAACACCAGCAGAGATGGGCAAGCAGTGCTCACTGCTCAGGGCGCGCAGTGCTAAAAGCCTGCCTCTGGGTGGCCATGAGCAGGGAATGCAAACAGCGGATGCAAACACACAAGTACTGAGGGCACTGGCAAACCTCAGCAAGAACCAGAGCCAGCTCTACAAGAAGCTCCTGTTGCTGTGAGTGTGAGCCTTAGCCAGTCCCCAAATTCACACAGCAGGAAAAATACGAAGAGCAGCTTTTCCCTCAAATCATCTATTTTTCACCAATGGGCAATCCAGCAGCAAACCCACTCCCTGCCACCAACATCAGGCACCTCTACAGGACACAAGGCCTGCACTTTGCTCTCTGCACTGTGTCCTGGTTTCAGCTGGGATAGAGTTAATTTTCTTCTTGGTAGCCGGTATGGAGCTGTGTTTTGGTTTTTCGATGATACACTGATACTGATGTTTTGGTTCTTGCTAAGTAGTGCAAAGCTGTTGCTAAATATTTGCTAAGTAGTTGCTCACACTGGTCAAGGACTTTTCAGCTTCCCATGCTCTGCTGGGTGCGCAGGGGGGGCGCTGGGAGGGAGCACAGCCAGGACGGCTGACCCAGACCGGCCAAAGGGCTATTCCATACCATATGACATCATGCCCAGTATATAAGCTGGGGAAAGAAGAAGGAAGGGGGGGGACATTCGGCATGATGGTGTTTGTCTTCCCAAGTAACCCTTATGCATGATGGAGCCCTGCTTTCCTGCGGATGGCCAAACACCTGCCTGCCGGTGTGACGTAGTGAAAGAATTCCTTGTTTTGCTTTGTTTGTGTGCATGGCTTTTGCTTTACCTATTTAACTGTTCTATTTTATTTTACTTCAATTATTAAACTGCATTTATCTCAACTCACGAGTTTTCTCCCTTTTATCTTTCCGGTTCTCTCCCCCATCCCACCATGGGGGAGTGAGCGAGCAGCTGCGTGGTGCTTAGTTGCTGGCTGGGGTTAAACCATGACACACTGCCAGGGTCCCGGCTCAGTGACTCCTCTGTGCTGTAGTCTGCAGAACACAAGGCTTCGTTTCCTCCTGCTTTTTTTTTTTCCCCCAGCACACATTTCAGGAGGACACTGCAAACTGACAGCAGCTTTCTGTGATAATTTGGATTTATTTTGCCGCTACCTGTTTATCGTCTCACAAAGATGGATGCCAGAATCACATCCTTTCTCTCTCTTTCTGCTGTGAGACACGGGGAGGACCTGGGCACCAGGTCATTCATTTTCTGGAAACTGAATACCTGGTGACTCAGAAGGCAACTCAGAATTTAGCAGCTTCCAGTTATTCCAGCAGCTGTTACATGAGGACCCAGGGACATCGCTCAGTGGTGGCACATACCTTCAGTATTTTCACATTGCACCAAAGGCTTCTGACTGACATTCGGGTGATGGATGCTGCTGAAAAGTGCCAGGGGAAGAGGAGAGATCTTGAAAATAAATCCCTCATTTCATGATCTGCACCAAGTAGGAAGGCCTCAGTCCCAAATTCACCCCTGAAGAAAGCCCTAGAACCACTACGATCCGTTCTTTTAAGCTCTGATTCTGACAACTCTGCAATGGTTTCTGCTGCATCAACTCCTGAATAGTCTTTCTGCTCTTTCTTTAAAAGCCAAGCCAACTTCCTCCACCTACCAATGAGCCAACCAGTTGGTTACCAAAGGCTGCATATGTCCAACCGATGCAAGTAACGACAAGTTACTGCAAGCAGGATGTGAAAGAGTACTGCTGAGGACTCACTGTGTAAGACTTCCTGCGAACTATGATATTAACAGAAAAGAAATAATAACCAGTAATCCAGTAAGGGAGAGGCGCAGCTTAGCTCGTGCCACAGGCTTTCATAAAAGAGACCATGTGCACACATAGTCTACAACGTAACATGCTGTGTGTTGACGGCACTGTTTACCGATCCCATTATTTTCTCTGAAGCCACTGCCTCCAACTGCTAATGAGAGATATGGGGAAGTGATTTTCTTGTGGCGTGAGTATTTTAAGACTTATGTATTTCTTGCCTTTCTGGATAAGGAAAATAAAAAATAGCAATTAAAAATCCATGGAACAAAAAGGTAGTATTTTTTTCTTCTTCAAATAAATCTATCAAAAAAATTAATCTCAGCTTTACTGGAGAGAGAGTGCACAATTTTTATTGGTTTTGGCTTTTTATGTCAAATTTTTTTTACCTCAACTTGCATTTCTAAGCCAAAAGTTGTGCTTCTGAGAAAAAAATACCACAACAAATTTCAGCAGTTTCAAAACCTTCCTTCAAGAAATCAGGAAGAGAAAACTTGGCAAAATTAACTTTCTCACCAAGAAATATGGACTGAAGCTAAATTTCCTGATTAAGAAAATCACTGACATCAAGAAACTCCTGAGCTACTATTGCATCAATGTTTTCTCTCTCACAGCTATCATGACACTCTTCATTCTCACAAAAAGCAATTGGGAATCCCTACAGCACAGCACACCTTTTTCCCCACATTTCAAACAGACTTAATTAGTGTCTCAAGAACACTATTTTTTTCTCCGGGCAAAGTGACTTTGCCCGTGGGGACACTTCCAACTCAGGAATCCAGATGATAGGACCACGCAGGTTCCCACAAGGTCCACAGAACTCTTATTGAAAGAGCCAAGAAAATGCCCACCAACACCAGCAAGGCATAGCACAAATGGTGAAAAAGCATGTCTGAAAATGTGAACTATTGCTGTTTGCTGGCAATAACTATTTTTGGAGGGACTGATCTTATTATTATGGTCAAAGACAGAGAGGGTGAACCAGAAGGAAAGTCAGCGCATTTTTAAAACCAAGTGTCTTGGTTAAAAAGGCTTGTAGCTGCCTGGACACCATGGAGAGGACTGCCACCTCTCACTGATGAGGCACTGACCACACAAGTGAGGGCACTGGTGGTCTCACTGCCTAGTTTGGTCTGTTGGCTATGGGGGGCCAAGGCATTTGCTGTGTTTGGAGATGGTCAGAGGAAGCTGGTCCGATCTCTATTACCTTCTCCTGTAGAACTTATGAGCAGTATCTCCAGATCCAGGGGGAGGTCGCAATCCATGCAAAGGTACTGTGCAAACTGTTTCCAGGTGGCACTGCCAGCCTCCTCCAGCAACTCAAGAAGCACCGAGACTTTTTCTCTGTGGTCGGCGATGCTATCCAGGCCCTTCAGGGCCGTCCCTGGGAGGAAGCGCTGGGAGGTTGTGAGCAGCCAGTCAGGACGGTGACGGAGGAACTCCACTAGCTGGGGGCGGGCGTTTGCTATGGCTGCTTCCAGGTCTAGATCATCCTTCTGAAATGGAGGCTAGAGGGATGAAACCAGAGAGGGTAGCGATGGGCATAGGAGTGAGAGATGTTCACCCAAACAGCTCTGCTGTCAAGCAACCAGCACAGCCCTTGATGACTTGATCTGCTTTTCTACCCATTGGTCCAACCCAGCATTTCTTATCTATCTGCCTTACTCTCACCACGTCATGTGGCAAATCCCAGCCCAGCCATTACATGGTGCAAGGACCACAGTGTTTGTCTGCACAGTGCCTAATGCAGCGGTCCTGCAAGGGACAGCAGCAAACAACAGGAGTCAGTCTCTCTGGCATCAGCCAGGGAGAAGCTCTGTTGACATCTGTATCGCTGCGGTGGCCATCTGCCAAATATAACATCTCGGGCATCTTTCACATGCAGCAGGACCTCTGGGGAGGCATGGGACTCTAAGAGCAAGATATTTCCCTGCAGAAAGGGCTCAGGCAGCTGTTCTTGCTGCTCGTTTTGCGGGGATGAATAATTCATTTCTGCTTTGGTGACAATGTCACCCTCCACTTCTACTTCCTTCCCACAGCAAAGCCATGCACTTACGGTCTCCTACCTGCATTGTCGTGTGGTCAGCCTCCTCCCAGTTGTCAAATGCAAAGGTAGCTTCTGCTCCATACCCTGACGAAGAACTGATCTGCTATCGGCAGCATTTCAGCACACAGTGACACACCAACGCATGGTGCATGCCTATATGCAGTTGCCTCGCTCGGTGCAGATGCCTAGGGATAACAACAGAGCAGGATGCAAATATGAAAGGGCATGGGCAATTACACAGGTCCCAGATCTAGAAGCTTTGCCTTTGATCCTGGGGTCAGCTGTGGAGCTTTTCTTCTCTAGGTAGCAACCTCAACTCAAACCAGCAGTGACCACAAAGTCTGGACATTTAAGGATCCACTACTGGTGTGATGAAAACGCGAGACTGAGCTTTGTGCCCTAAGATGCAAGTGAAGACAGGCTTTACAGGAACACTTCAAGGGAATCACAGCTTTCCTGGTGTCGCTGCCTGACTTGAGCTGGTCTTCTATGCCAACCTGCTGCTCTTAGCCCCTCCATGGAAGTTGATGCAGAAGAAGCAGCAGCTTGCTCAAGTCAGGCAGTCACACCAGAAAAACTGTGAAAAGCTGATCCTCTGAGGTTACACAGCTCTTGCAAAAGAGTTTCAGGTGCAGAGGGGTGAAAACACTGCCAGTGCCAGTGCCAGCCCCCCTGCCTCTCAGCAGAGATGGCAAAGAGAACTGTTTCTCCCCACACTGCAGTTGGCGCTGGCTGGTGTCCAACCACTCCTACTGCAGGGAAAGGGATGAAAGAAGTGATTACCATCATTCACGCCTCCAAACATCCTGCAGCAGGACCCCACCCCAGGCTACAGCAGTATCAGGACCATGCCACTCTGCTATCTCCAGCAGACAGCTGCCTACACTGATGTGGAAAGCCAGCTCCAACTACAACTACCATCACCATGTTTGCAGAAAGGTTGAGAAACAGAAACCACAGGGAGCAGCCTCCATGCTCCATCCCCCCACCAACTACTTGTCATGCATCTAGACCGGACAGTCCTTCCAGGTCCAAGACTGCTGCACTGTGTGTGGCGTGGGAAAAATTCCCACAGTTGCTCTAACACCCAAATTTACATGGGGTGGGGATGGGACAGTGACCAACCTAGTTCAGCAAAAAGCCAGTAACACTGTTGAGTGGGAGCATCCTGTTGGGTAGAATCATTTCATCCCCTAATGAGGCTGCTGCACACAGTGTCATTCCCCAGTAACTGCCATTTCCTGAGCAAACACCTTCCCAACCCAACAGCAGCAGCCACCCCACCACTACCAGGGTGGAGGGATGAGGGAGCTGTGCTGCAGAGCCCACCTTCTCTAGTGTTCAGCCCTCACTCCGCAGACATGCTCTCCTCTGCACTGACCATTCAGGTACCTACAGTAAAGTAGCCACAGGCCTTTAGGCTTTTTATTTTTGCAGCCTTCTTGACCTGGCCAAGGAGGAAAGTGGAGATTTCTATGGAGCAGAGGCAAGAACTCAAAACAGAAGTGGAAGACAGAAGGGCGCTGTGATGGAAAGAGGCAAGACCTTCCCATCTGCACACAGACAACTCCTGATTCATCAGTTATGCTCAGGCTGGTGCGACCTCACAACAGAGCCATGCCGCTCCATGGGGCACACTGCACAGACAGAACATCACCTCCCCACATCGCTGCTGGGCATGGCACACACCCAGAAGCTGAAGACAAAACAAAAAGCAGGCGTCAGGTTGGAGCACTGGAGGTAAAACTGCTCAAAAGGTTTGTTCCGCTCATGTTTAAGAGGATACCCTTTCTCCCATAATCCAGCACCACTTTCTGCCCTCTCTGTACTGCCTCTTCGAACAGCCTCGCATGTTTTTAGATGGAGCCAAATTAATGCAGCAAAGGGATATAATCTGACTGATGCTACAGCAGAGGGCTGGATGGGAAGGACCTAATCAGTCTCTTCTGTTCCTGCACTCTGGAAGCCAAGCAGACATCCGATAAGAGCAAAGCTAGCGACACTATACACTCTTTTGCCAGTCTCTGACTCTTCAGGTCAAAACCATGTCACAAGTTGATTATTACGCAGCATCACCATACACTGTTATAATACAGTATCACTGCAAGAAAGATTCTACCCAGCTTCCCATTCCAGATCAAGCTTTCAGGATGCATTACATAAAAAGCAAGGCAGCTCTGGAATTCATCAAAATGTCAGTAAAACCCCCAGTTTGTAAAAATTCTCTAATGCCTCTCATTCACTATTCTAACAAGAACAACAAAAAAATTCCCGGTGAAATGCTAAGAAAATTGGGCTTAACCAGAACCAGTGTTCTCCTCAAGCCAGTTCTGTGATGCCAAAAACTGAAACTCTGAACCTCACTGGAAAGGACTCTGGAAGTTTTCATTCAAAATGTTTTATTATGAAATTAATTTTATATTATCAATTATACAAATAAAGAATACTAATAGTAACACATGCATTAAAAACAAATGAAGCAATGTTTCAACTAACTGTAAAGCTTAAAAGAAAACATTTAAACATTTCAAATATAAACAAACTGCAAAATAACAGGGCTTCCTGCAAAACAAACTTCATTTCCCAGTAGCCTGATCAGTCAGCCTTTAGGGTCTGTCATTTTACATTTCTTCTGATAAAATACAGAAACCTGTAGACAGCAATGCCCTGACTTTATTCCCCTGATGACTAAGAACTACCTACTTAATAGGACCATATTAAAAAAATAAATAAAAAATCACACCTTAATGCCGACGAAGACTGAAAGCCATTCACTCAAAGAGTAGACTCAGATGAAATAATTAAAGACTCATATTCAAGAATAAAACACTGAAAGTTTAGATGAAAGCTCAGGCAATACTGCACAGCTCCTATACTAGTACTGCTCACTATATCAGACCATCAGAAACAACGGGCAGTGACCTACAGTAAAATTTGAGCCTGAGCTCAAAACAAAGCACAAAAACCTCTCAAGAAGAGCCAGGAAACTTTTGAGCCTTGACCCTTGCCCTCGCTCTTCAAATGCAAAAACACCATTAAAACACGTTGCAAAAATACGCCTCACCTCCCCTCCCCAACTTGGCATTCACACCATTCCCAGCCACGGAAAACAAAACTGAAATGTGAAGCTCCCTGTTGCAAATCTACCAACTCCTTACATGCTCTGAGGAGTGCATGCTACTTACCGAAAGCCCAGAAACAGAGCAGCAGCACCAAAAACAAAGTGGGGGGTCACAAAACAAAGGAGCTGGTGGACAATGTCCCCACTGCCTTGATTTCTTCACTTGCTAACCCACTCGAGGCACACAGCCCTTCGGTGCCGTTTGGGACCTGGTGAACAAAAGGCAGAACAAAATGAAAGTAATAACAGCTAGGAATTCCCCAACTGTAACTCATCTGTGGTAAAAACAGTGAGATGAGCAACAGTACCCAATCAGAACAGCAGAAGAGTGTTGTCCTATTCTAAAGTCTATAGCTAGACAATAATTTAGGTAAAGCTTTTGGGACGTGGTCCAAAGAAATCGGACTCGGAGGCAAACACTCTCACTGGAGTAAACTTCGACTTGGTTTTGGTTAAGGCTCTCGCAGTTTTTGTGTATATGCATAGGTCTGATTATTCTGGGACACATCAAAATATTTCTTTACCATTTCCATTATATCTAAGAGAAAAAGCAACCTGCCTTTCCTTTGGAATGGGAACAAGGTTTAATGAGAATGTAGTAGATGTGAATGATTTGAGGAAAAAATCCCATGTTTTTAGATAGAATGGTGTGCACAGAGATCTCCGGATCTAGCCAGATAGGGTGCAACAAACAACAAAATATTATTAATATTTCTCTAGATGCCAGAGAAGCTACATTGGAAAACTAGTTGCAGCCTGTAGCCGAGTCCCAGACAAGGCAAGATGGCACACAGCACAGTTTCAGAATTCATTTATCAGAAAAAAAAAACAAAAAAACCTAACAGGTCGAGCAACACGCACATCTCCGGATACAAATGCTTACTCTGGTTGTTTTGCCTCGAGCACGGCGCAAGGGATGGGGGGAGCTCTGAAAGAACTGGGAGTGGATGGAGGGGACCATGGGTGGCAAGGAGCAGCTGGGGAGGTGACGGGCAGTGCCCACTGCTGCGCTCTGCCCCATTTTCCTGCCTTCCCTGCCCGAATCTGGCCCACCACACCTCCCATTGGTGTTTCTACCAGACCAGAAGCTGTCGCAGCACCACCAGCACAAACCCTTTGTGGCCAAACTAGCAATTCTGTGCCTAAAAATCCCCAATCTCATCCTTGACAGACTCCTGTACATTGCTCCAGCTAGTAAAAGCTGCGATATTGATTTGGTCCCAGTGCCTGGGAGCAAAAGTCACCTCCAGCAACGTTTCCAACCTTAGACTTTAACTTGGGGAAGCAAAGGACACTGCCAGGTCCCCAGCCTCCCCAAATCTAAACCCTCACGGGGTGCCCCAGCATGCCGCCTTCGCCCTGGGCGGGGAGGAGGTGGGAGGACGGGGCAGCGGTAAACAGCTTCCTTCCACCTGCTCCCCACCCAGGGCAACTCCCCCACGGCACTCACCGGCTGGCTGTCCGCCCCAGCGCGCTGCCACAGCGGCGGCGGCAGCAGCGGCAGCTCAGGACAGTACCGAAACCGAAACTGCTTGACAGAGAAGCAGCTTTGCCCGGAAAGCACGCGGAACCACAGACCCGGCCCCGCGCCAGCCGAGGCGAGGCGAGGCGAGGCGAGGCGAGGAGCGG